TATAAATAATGGATTGAGCAGTACACTGGAGACATCCAGCCTATCAGTCACCAGACCTCATAAGGTAACTGTGATCTGGGAAAGAGTGTTAGGTCCCAGAAGTCAAAATTATGCCTTAGGAAAATTCCTATGACTCAGACTGGAGAGAAAAAGAATAAATACTTATGAATTAACTCAACTCCTTAATTACACGTTTAGGTAAGGGAAGAGAGAAAGAAAAAGTATAAATGAAAACACAGTTAACATGGTTTTATTTGATATTTTCTAAGTATCCCAAAGAATTTCATGAGTGAGAAGATGGAATGAGTTCAAGAAAAATAACCTGCTGGAGGATTTAAGAGCAGCTTGCCTCTAAACCTCCTGAACTAACATATATTCTTGTCTCAGGTTATTCCAGTGGAAAGCTGAGAAGAGATTTGTGTCATGATAAGGGTTGTATTAATCCAGAGAAACATTTGTTCACATGTTATTTTTTCTGCTCTGTTGGAAAATTAACAAAATTTTATTACAAGTTGACACCAACTGTTTCCATTTTAAAACAAAAGCAGGGTTATGCTGCAGATGAACACTGCAGATGAATCAGTATTTCTGTATGGTGCAGCTTATTACTGAGAGGGTAAATATATATCAATGAAATATAAAAATACCCTGCAAACCATTTAAGTGTTAAAACCCATCGGTATCCACTGCTAAACCAACTGGGATCAATCAGGTGACCTCAGTAATTACACCATGTAAACTGGTGACAAATTTGGCATAGGAACTATGAAATAAACCTCCAGTTCCCATCTTAGTTTCTTGAGCATTCTCTCATGTGGAGATGTGGAGGGAACACAAAGGAAATATCTACCCTTCTCCAAGCCCCAAGCTGAGCAGGGAGCCCACCAGCTCCTGCTCCCTTTTACAGGGGAGTGAATCTGGCTGATGTGACGGCACTGTCTGTGCTTTGGGTGAGCGTAGATCAACAGCTGGGGCAGGGCATGGGCTGAAATCTTGTCTATACCAAATACGACATGGGCAGGTGACCCATAAATCCCTTACAAGTTCATAAAATTAACAGTGCTCCCCAAGTTCCGAAGCTGAGGAGGAAGAAGAAAACATGAAATCCTCAAGACCAGGTACTAAGCAAGCAAAAAATTAAGAGCATGTACTGAAGGAACATCTGGAGGTCATTTAGTTCAACCTCCTCCTCAAAGCAGCAACATTATTAGGTTTGGATGTATCCTGGAGTGGACTTTCCACAGCCTCTTTGGGCTCCAGTTCTTAATCATATTTATGGTAACACTTTTTTCCATGCACCTCTTTAGAATTTCCCTTGCTGCAACTTGTCTCTTACTGATAGCCCTTTTGCTGTGCACCCTCAAGACATACCTGGGTCTGTCTTCTCTCTAATTAGCCTTCGGTTAATCAAAGGAAACAATTAGCTTCTTCCTTTTCCTTCTCTTCCCCTGGCTAAACAAACCTCTGCCCCTTCTCAGTACCTCCACCCCATCTCTGGAGTCCTCCCCTGGACTTGCTCCAGCACACCAAAGTCCCGCTGCTCATGGAGATCCCAACCCGGATGCAGCATTCCAGGTGCAGCCCACAGGCACCAGGGAGAGGCGAGCGCTCGCTTCCCACGACCTGTTAGCAGTGCTCCTGCTAATGCAGCTCAGCAGGCTCCTTGGCATGGGCTCACTGCTCGCCCATGTCAATGACTGCTGGAACACAGCTCAGGAGTGAACACATCCCATGCACATCTCACTTCTGAGAGGTTCTCAAGGAGGTGGGTGAGTGCTGGAAACTGTCCTCCCATAAAGGGGATTATGCAAAACAAGCAAGGGGACAGTGATCTACAATGTGACCTACAGTCAAAGTGATGCAACATGTCAATGGTGCTAGAAAATTTAAATACATTAAGAACTAACAGTGAATGTATTTTATATTTATATTTTACAAATGCTTAGTATTTTATCTTCAACCCCCTTCCCCCCATTTTTTAGGTTTATCTATTTTCAGATACACATTGGGCATAAAAAAAATATTTTGAAATATTTGGTTAAAAAATTAATACGCTAGGTACCTTAATTTTCCTTTCTTTTAAAGAGAAAATAAGCTGAAGCAAATATTATCATGAGTACCACAGCCTTGGAGATTTTGGAACTAGCAGATATCAGGATCACACCTCATTTTAATACAGGAAAAAATATTTTTTTCCTTTTTCAGCTTCCTTGTGTTTTCCTTTTCAAATAAACTACGTATTGACTAGAGTAAATTTAAATTAAGAGCAAGCTTTTAATGGTGCATTAATTCCCCACATGCTTATTCTTAGTTTCAGATATTTAGCAGCAGCTTCCCACAGACCAGTAATTTCACTATTTTAGAATCTGTCAGCAATCACTCATTCTGTGAAAGTAATTTTAATTTAACTGATGTTAACTGCAACTGATTAGAGTAAACGTAGGAAGTATTATAAACTACCATAATTTAAATGAAGATTTTATTTCTATATATGCACCTATGTAATTGAAATCAACTACACAAATCTCAAAAGACAAAACAAAGTTAATTCATGCACAGCAATATTTTCTCTTTTCTAAGAGGTGCAAAATGACTACAGCAAATCTACTGCAGGAACCTCACATTAAACTGTGATGGCTCAGAAATGCACATTGGAACATGTTTGGACTAAGGTACATTTATTTGACCTCCTAACTTTTTTCATTTTAAGAACTTCTCTACATGCAAAAAAAATCCTGCATGTGAAATCCATTTCACATTGCAATGCCTCACTGAAGTTCATATTAGTCCAATGTTGGTCTTTAAATTCACACTTTACCTATTCTATGCTGGCTTTCCTGTGAGCACCACAGGTAGTCTGTCCTTGAGAGAGAAACTGACCTAGTTTCCCAGGGCTGCATGAGAGCAAATGGAGTGGGAGGAATGGGTCTGTGCCCCACAGGCTGAATGAGCCCAGAGGATGCTCCACCCCTCACAATGCTCTGCCCAACAGAAATTTTCCATGGGCATATTTAACTTCAGCACTCCTGCAGGAAGCCTTCAGGTTTGGAATTATCAGGGACAGCCTTGGTCTATTTTTTAAAGAAAATAATGTGTACACACCAATGGCTGTGTCTGAAAATCTGTCTCAAAGAGGTCAGTTCAGTCCTGTCCTTCATCCAGCTGTGAGGGATGGCTGCTGGGCTCTGTGCAGCCAACATATCTTCAGCATCAAAAGAACCTCAATGAGAGTTCATAGGGTTCTCATAGGGAGACCCACTATCAACCACGATTGCTCTTGTAGCCTCCTTGCTGCCCTTCTTCCTTCACCCTTGGATCAAACTGGATTCACCAATATGGGATGGTCTGCTGCCCTGGGCTGAGCACAGGCCTGTGAGCAGGGATTCCTACTGACTCAGGTGTGGTATCTGCTCAGGACACTAAACGTTTTCTAGTCATAGGTGGAAAAGTAGTTATTCCAAACCTGGATTTTGGCATAAGACGTAATAAATATAAGGAATAATTGCAAAGAAAATATTTTGTTACTTTAAAATGAAACATTTAGCATCTAACAGTCTAAATTACCTCATTGATCTCCTTTAGGTTTTATAAAGGTTTTCAAATTTAATCTCTGTTTACAATGGCAGTGCTTGAACTCCTGAAAACTTTGCCCTTGGGTGAGACTGCGATATTGTGTATATCCCTTCCAAAGTGGCTGCATTTAAGGAGCATGTGTGAGGTAAGAGCCGTGACAGAGGACCCGACCAAGGATGTGACAGCCGAAACATTAATCCAGTCCAATCTGTGATTAACCGAGAATTACTGTAACCCTACACTCGGCAGGAGGCGAAGGGACAAGGCAGGGATGGAGCATTTCTCTGGGCGAGCTCTCGGCATGGCCGTGCAGAGCGCGGCCTGCCCGGGGCCCGGCGCCATGGGTGGCACGGAGCGGGGCCCAGCACAGAGCGGGCTTTGTGCCCTCGCTGCTGAGAGCGGCCCAGGTCCCAGCGCCAGCCCACGGCAGCCTGCAGCGTTCTGAGCAAACATCTGAGGGCAAAGCACGAGCGCCTGCCTGGGAGAAATCACCTCACACTTCTCCGGGGAGGTGTGTGCGGATGGGGATGGACGGCAAGGACGGCAAGGCAGGCACAAGCCACTGCCTGGGGCCCCCAGCATGTGGTTGGAGGTGGTGTCAATGAGAAGGGTACAGCTCACACATCTCCCCAGTAAATCCCTCCTATGTAACCATAGGTATTGCATTAATTCAGGATGGATTGAGGAGAATTTGGAGTTAGAATCACTTTTCTTAATTTAGCTCTCTTCCTGTGCGTGCACTGCAGAGATGCAGGTGTAAGCATAGTAGTCAGGGGTGCAGTAATTTCTGGTTTTATGAGCAGGCAATTAGACCTTTGTATCAGTCAGGTGTTATACTGAAATCACTAAGGCTGCAAGAAGAAAAAGTAATGCTTGAGTATGAGTATCACTGCCTGAATCCTTACAGTGACCTGAAATATGGAGTGTTTCTGGGCAAAGGGACCCTCCTATTTAAAGTGTTTCAAAATATTAAAGGATGATGATTAATAAATGTGCTGTTCAGTTCATGCCAGCAAATGAATTCATGTGTGACCTTATGACTAACCAGCTTGCTTTGGTAATTCTGAACTAGCCCAGCTCAAAACAATTCTCTCCCTTATTAACAATTATCACTGCACTTTCTTGCATATTTATCAATGCACATGATCAAAGAAAAAGTAGTCATTTCATGTTATGTTTGAGCATGGGAGTTTTATGATAAGATCTGTACTAAGACAGCAAATGAAGGACCAGGTCTTCAACACTTTGAATTTGACCACTGCTTGGAAAGAAATTTGTCTGGTTTTCTTTTGCTCTGAAGATATTAACAACAGTGATCTTTTAGTTACCTTCCAAAAGCCACATTCTTCAAATGTGGTTTTTGAATCATAGTATAAAATGTGTATTTCCCTGTGACACCTAGAAAACTGCAGTTACTTGTGGCTTACCTGTCCTGGTTGTTCACAGGCTGTCTGGTATCTTGCTTGTTGGCATAATTCTTTTACTCTCTCGTACTTTGGTAGTTGATTAGACTGCTGAGTGTTTTTGTTGGGTTCCTCCTTCTTGCGTAGAAATTTGCTTATTAAAAAAATAAAGAGCAATGTTTTAGATACATTGTTCTAAGCCCTAAGGATAAATGTAACTTGAAGAGTGAAGCTTCTTGAAGGTTTAATGTCTTCTCAGGGAAAAAAATCCCCACATTTCTGTTACTGACTTTCGATGTAGGTCACATACTGAAAAAAGCCTCAGGTGACTGGCTGAAAATTGCCAGAAGATAAGTAAGTGCTGCTAAAATATGTCTAGCTGGTACAGTTCAGCACCATTCATACATAAATGTAGGTTTTTACAAAAAGCAAAACTCTTTGAAGCAATACTTTCTTGGCTGGAAAACACAGCTGAAGACACAACAGGACTTTTATACTCAGCACAAGCTCGGCTGTATCTTACATATCATGATGTGTCTTTCATGCACTGCTTTGTAATACATCAGACAAGGTTTTCATAATCTGTAAAGTCATAAAGTACCGAAAAGAAATTGCTGTAAAATTTTTACCCAGAGAAAATTTTCACAGCAACAATTGGCAAGGTAAGAGGGTATAAGGAGTTATCAGCAAAGAGAGGAGCAATTATGGTCATGATTCTCAATTACACATAAGTCTTAGCTGGAACAAAAAGGAAGAATGCTTCTAACACATTATGAAAAATACAAAATCAGACAATAAGAGGATTCTTCACAGCTGGATTTGAAACTGAGATTTGGGAAGAAAATTTGGATAATTACAAAAGTGGGCACAAGAACAGTGTTAGGGAAAGAGGCTAGGAGAATCACCAGAAAAGCATGCTTTCAAATTTCTTCAGAGAAAAGGATTTGGGAGCACAGTAGATTACAAAGGCAGTGGTGGGAAACTAGGAAAAAAGTCATGCCTGTCAGTTTGCTTGCAAAATTTACTGCTTCTCTGACCATAAAAAGGAAGAGGAGGAAGCAGAAAGGAAAGCGTGTACAAGGGAGTGTTCCCAGCAGGCAGGCTCTCCCAAAGCTCTCTCACCCCTAATAATTACCCTCTTTCCACTAGAAATGTGTCACGCCAAATTTTGGTCTTCTTGTTTGTTCGAAACCTGAAAGTAAAATAATGACATTTACTGCTGGCACTGAAGTACACCACTGTAAGTGTTAACAAATTATTTTTGAAAAAAACCAACTCTCCACTTATATATACTTGCAATTTTATAGATCTACTACTTAAGAGACTCTTGAAATGGGAAAGCTGTGGCCGTTGCCATGACACAACTCATTTTCACAGAATCTGTTTTTCCACTCAACTGTTGATTTACTAAGGTGTTTGCTTCTGAACTAGCTAAAAAAGGATCATGGGACCCACCTGTTTCCTGGTCTCTCCAAGTCCAGAAGTTTTAGGACAGATTTGCCATCCATATCTGGAGGTGTGTCAAGGCCTGCTATATCCAGAATTGTTGGAGCAAGATCAATATTCAGAACTATCTGAGGCACACTGCAAATCAACAGGAAAGGTCATAGTTGCCATGTGTTCAATGTGTAAGTCTTCACATTCTCTTGGAAATAGAATGATAATTAATGCTTATCAGGGCTTTGAAGATGTAAAGCTCTACAGAAGTGCTAAGTTTAGAAAACCCCCTTTGAAGTCTACAACTCAGAACGATAGGCCAGTACTGCAGACTGACATCACAAAGAAAAAGTTAAGCACGATTAAACAAGGAGGTGCAGCAGCAACACTGCTCTTATCTCATTGACAGTGAGGGCATGATGCTAAATGACAGAGTGAGCAGTAAAGATGAGCACATCGTTTTTAAAAGCAAAACCCTACAGGACTATGCATTACAGTTTTCTCATCTGCATTATAACTTATTCATAATATGCAAAGTGAAAAAACTGCCTGTTCATGAGACTCATTGCTCTGCAATAATAGGGCATCCTTTATGAAATGAAACTAGACAGAGTGATAATTACATATTCTCAGAAACGTTTTACATTAGGCTCAACAGCTGTGCTAGAGACATAAGGGAACGTACACTGATCCCGGCTCCACACTTGGACCGCGAATAAAGAAAGGAACTCGAATATCAAAGTCATACGGCATTGACTTCCCCTTGACCAGTCCGAACTGCCCAATATGGTATCCGTGGTCAGCAGTGTAAATAATGTAGGTGTTCTCCAGTTCTCCCATCTCTGCAAGCATTTGGTGTAACTGCAACCCAGCACAGAAAGAACTCAGAGTTAAGTGTAGCAAAGCATGTTTTGTGCAGAGTCGTGTATAACCATAATTTCTAACACTTAAATACACAGGACCAAACAGGGCATCGATGACATAGTTGGCACAGATTCTGGGGACTGGCATTTTTACATCTTGCCTTTACTGTGCTGTGAAAAAATCAACGTACCAGTTCAATTTCAAACTTCACAGAGGGGACAATTAAACAGCTCCAGAAATTAGAATAGAAAAAATATGGTAATGATGGGGTAATTGCCTTAGTATGTCCAAAATTCATTGTGTACTCAAACACAGCTTGTGAAAAAAGTCTGCTACAGCTTTAGGGGAAAAGGTACTAAGATTTGATTTACTGTGCTAGTCTACAACTTTCCCATTCCTTACAGTTGTGGGCTTGGGAAAAAGCTGTAAATTTTTATTAAAGTTTAAAGAAATCTCTCTAGGGGAAGATCTTTGGTCATGGTGCTTGATTTTGGAACAAAAAGTCATACAAAGTAAACCTAATAGTTCATGTATCATGTTACCTATAATTAGCAGTGCACTGCATTGCCTAACTTCTGCAAACACTTGTAGACTGACACCTGAGTTGCTGTGATTTGCCAGTTCCCAGATTTCAACTGAAGGACAAACTGTGAATGGAGTGTGTGAAATGAATAGAAGTTGTCATGTGTGCACCTGTGTCTATCCATGTGTACACACAGGTGATGCATCTTCTGTTAATACCAAGCTTTATACTAGGCCCAGTGACTTTTCCCTTTAAAAAAGCCCCCTATTTTTTTGACCCAGCAATTGAAAGAAGAAAGCCAGGAGCTTGGCCTCATGTTGCAGAGAACCAGAATTCAATTCCACTGGGAAAAGGTAGAGTAATTCCTCATAATACAGTGACTTTCCCCAGAATGTGGTTGGTGAAGGTAAAGAAAGAATTAATTAATTTAATTTTGTTACCAACTAACAAGATTGTATTCACAGCAATTTCTTGTACTCACTCTTTCCATAGAGTCATCAACTGACATCAGGGTCTGAAGTCTTTTGCGCTGCAAGACGTTGGTAAACTCCATGTGGATTGGCAGCATGGGCCCCGTGTACTGCATAATCCAGTGCTTATCCATGTTTGGTGCATAGTTATAGCTGGGAGTGCTGGAGGAAAAGAACGGATCTCAAAAGTTGTGCAGCATGACAGGCATCAGAGGGAGGTGGGAACTCCTCCAACACAGAAATAGCCAACAAATAGTTAAATCACAAATTCCACATGGTATCTAACAAATACCAACAAACATCACTTCAGTGGCTTTCCAGATCAACTGGGTCATGTATCACCTCCTCAAAATATTTTAACCACTTGCTTTCCAATCTTTCTTTCATACTCAAAGACCACTACAAGTTCCACGTTAATATCTGGGATTTGCCAAAATCTATTCCTCAAACAAACCTGCAGTCATTAAAAAGGCTCATCTGAATGGTGCATCCCATACACATAAGAAAAATTAAGGGAGTTAGAGGTGAAAAAGGACTGCTTACTTAATATTAAGGTATATTGCCCTGGTACTTCCAGTACAGAAATTACCTTTAAATAAAAGTCAAAGAAAGGTATTTTCCAGTGGAATAAAGAAACCTAGTAGTCAGTGTAAAGAATACCACCAGTGTTACAGTTAGTTCTACACTAAATACTGCTGAAGTGTTCTTTTCAATGCGAGTGCAAAGCACATTACAAGCATAAAATGAACCATGACAACAAAACTGAACTAAACACTGCTATTGGTACTAATACTAAGAAGAAGTATGGCACAGAATCCTGTCTAAAGCAAAGAATGATGCTTTAGGAGTTTGCACAAACATCAAAAGAAATATTTAAGAGTGGTATTCTATCCACAGTTAGTGTATTCTTGAAAGATATCCTAAAGAAACAAGAATATTTTCCCAGAGATATCACCTTGGGAGAAAATGTGTGGCAAAAAATGTGTCAAGTAAATTTTCTCTACAGAGAAACATGTTACAAAAGCTCTCCATCATTCTTGTTTTTATGCCTAGCATACATGACAACTACAAGGTGAAGAGAAACCAGGCAATATCCATTTCCCATAATGGTTTCACTTACATATGAGCAGTTCCCTTCTCTAGAAATAAGAAATCTAGGCTTTGTCATTTTCATTAAGTTCTTCAGGTTTTATTTCTCCCCTGTTTCTAGTACACCGCAGCATATGGTACATGAAAGCAGCATTACATTTGAAAATTAAAAATAAAGAGAAGGTGAAAAAATACTGTTGGGTGATTAGATTAATTTGATTCTTTCTATTCTCTTTTCAGCTTACAAGAAAAATGAAATTCAATATTAATTTGCTGCTTAGGTCCTGAAAATTATAACATGTGTAATAACAAAAGGTACATTTTTCCTGTTGAAATATGTATGTGTAGTTATCTTTTCTTAAAATGAACAACATGAGAATACTGTATAACTTAGAGTCATACCTTTGACCAGTCCTTCACTTAGGTTTCATTTTTCTTCACATGATTGTATGTGATCCCAGAATGGTAGAAACAGTTGATTTTTATATCAGATATCATATGCATAACTTTTAACTACATACTCTGAGGACAAAAATCAGCTGAAAGGATAACACAGTAAACTGACAGTCAACTTCAATAAATTTGTGGAACCCACATTCTAACTGGAGAGCATTGTTTGAGAAGTTAGGTAGAATTTGAGAAGTATGCCTTTAATACACACAGCAAGTTTTGACTAACCTACTTAATCATTAGTCTCAAGGGAAAAGGCAAGTGATGCAACAGTATCACAGGACTTTGATAGAGATTAAGAAGTATGAAAAGGTTAGCTCCCTACTGAGCAAAGACAAGCATAAACTAGAATTCCTTTTCTGTTGAAAAATCTTTTCTTTCATGTCGAAAAGTCAAAGTTTTTGTAATTTCCCATGGTTGAAGTCTGATTTAAAATGAATACTGTCATAATATTAATAAGATTTATGTCAGGAGCACAGGCCTTTGTGCTGCTGGCTAGCCAGCAGTCCTAGCAGAGGGAGATCCTTGAAGAAGCAAGCCTTAGGAATTCTGTCACCTACCATTTATCAGTAATCAGACAGAAAAGAAGGATACTTTCAGTGCAAATTTTTCTCCGTTTCCTTGGAAATTTGTCAGACAAGATGTTTTCCCATGAAAGAGCTCATTTTTGATTAATCAGCATCTCCTAGTAAAACCCTGTTTTTTTTCAGTGGGGTCCTGAGTGTCCCAGGCACAGAGGGATGAGGTGGCTGTGAGCTGCGCTCCGCCGGCAGCGTGGTGACAGCCCGCTGCTGTGCCAGGAAGGAGAGCCAGCTGCTGAAGCAGGCTCAGGTCTTATGTTCCCAGGCTATTGTGAGCAGCCTCCTCCACATAATGGATAGTTTTTAAAAGCAGCACTCAAGGGTTTAGCAGAGCAGTTAAAACCTTTCACAGACACTATCCAAATGCATTTTGAATTTTCGGGGTGAGAAATGCAGCAGGCAGAGAGGGAGTAGAATTTTCCTCCCAGGCAATTCAAGGAACAGGAACCTTCTGTGAAATATCCAGTGTCACTGGCTGATGGATAAATGTGAAACAGGGGTCCATAACGTTGGAGAAAGAGAACGAAGGATGAGACAGAAAGGAATTCCAAAACCCCACATCTTGTACACGTTCCCTGGGTACCCCTGTTTGTTGGGCCTTTCAGAAATCCACCAGAATAGCACTGGTTACCAGACACAAGATCTAATATTGCCCTCAAATTTATCTACCTTTTGTTTGGTATAAATGTAACCAACCAAACGAACACTGCAGATGTAAATCTTAGGGAGAATACTGCTGACTTCTGAAAACCTTTCCATGTAGTCAGATCTGTTCCTGATCAGTGATAATTTTTTATCATAACATTTTTTTCTTGAAGCAGCTGGAGATATGAGTTAAATGTTCAGCTGTTATAAGTCCTTGAAAGTCATTATGATATGGTGTGTCACCATTGCTATTCTTCCAGTTTTGAGAACAGTTTTGCTCTGTATTGACATGCACTGCTATGAAGTATCACTGACATCTACATTTCCTTGATTTCTCTTTGCACTGGAAGATTGAAGTTGAAGATGTGTGCCATGTCTTCCATGGCCTCCTCTCACTCATGGAGTCCATCTTGTGCTGAGTACATTAGCTGATCCATGATGAGCAGACAGTGCCAGGTAGCCCATTATTTTCAGGTTATCCATGGCTTCTGAGTCTGGCAAGCTGCTACTGTAGTACTTGTCATTCTTGTAGAATATACTAACCTGTGCAAATCTAGATTGCTCTGTTGCTCACTTTTATTTGTCCAACACATACTGTGAAGAGCTTAATAAACAGAGACCACTTGGCACTCCCTAACAGATCTGTTCTGGTGCTGGAAGACATTAGATTCTTAAAATTTTGAATTGATACCCTCAGTTAAACTAACAAAAAAATTCCAACTGCTATGTAACAATAACAAATGATGAACATAGGCACTTTCCTATAAAGGCATATTCATAATGAGAACATTTCACCCTGAGATTTTGTAATGAGTCATCCATGTGAATAAGTTTAGAGAGAAATTTACAGTGATAATCAAGTGATCTATAGACTGTGGAAGGAAAAAATATTTGGAAGCACTAGTGCATTTTTAAAGAAAGATTCTCCACAAAATCTCTAATTTGTCTGTAAACATCAGTTCAAGTGGATACTTATGCTGAGAGAAAAGCAGTAGTATTAGCAGTCAGTGCTGTAATCAAAAGGTCTCAGCAATTCTTTCTGACAACATATTTACTATATTGATATATTTAAATTTGAACTTCTAAATTAAGAATGCATTTTATTTGGCTTTTAAGGTACCACAATAACTTTAAGTTAGGCAAGAAACAATAAAAATACCCAACAACCCAAAAAATGGATGCTTGTACTTGAGGATCTATTAAAATGGGGTCCCCAAACAAATAATTCAGAAACAAATTTCACTACCTTCTACTAGTAACTGAATGGAATTGTCATATTCAATGAAATAAATGGAATAAAGCCATTTTTCAAGTCATAATTACAAAAAGATATTTTACAGTTAGGAAAGGATTGGGAGAGTACTGAATGTTTTAAGAGCTTCAAGAATTTAGAACAACTTTAAATTAACATTTGCTTTCTAAAAAATTAAATATATACGTCTCTAACAGATGGGATAATTGGAGAGAAACAAGTATGTTTCCAAACATTTGTTCAACTGCTCATAGTAAAAATCTGTGTTTGCCCTTATTTACAACCTTGTAATTCCCTCCTGTTTCTATTCAATGAAAGAAATTATGTTCACAAATATACTGCCTAAAAATGTTTGGTTTAAATAACTCCATAAAGTTCTCAGGGGGTTCAGTCTCAAAAGTGTTTGGCTACTCTTCTGTCTGGATTGTGAGTCCTCCAGTTAGTGAAAATAATACAGTACTTAGACACCCCAAGAACATATTCATTTCATAAAAATAAAAGTCAACGATATTTTAAAGTAATACATTTGGTAAAACTGATTGAGAAAAATGAATACTTTCTGTACAGAATTAGCACCTCTATTATTCTTTGAAATATGATTAGCAAACATGGCATAAGTGGTCATGTTTCTTCAAGTCAAAATAAACAAAGGAAGCAAATTCTTTGTTTCCAAGGAAAGTAGACTTCCAGGCTTAGACACTGTTCTTGGAAAGCAGGAAGCCTAGGTTCTAGGCAAAGTTAAAAGTGAATAAAACCTAAAACAACCCACAACCAGTGGCCATGGTCATTATTAATGTGAAGTTGAATTTCACCACTCTGGGTCTGCTTTTTCTGTGTTTTAAAATGGGACTCTTTTAAACCCAGTGATAGTTATAGATCTGGGTATGTGGGGTATGAAAGTTTCACTGCCCAAGTGTAACACAATTGCTATATTTTAGAATAAAGAAGTGAAACAGTTGTTGCCTGTGAAGTATAAAATCTTTTTCATTCAGGAAACATCATTTGTTGCTCCTGTGGAAGTTAATTGTGCAACAAGAATATTACTTACATTTCTATTTCACAGCATTTCTTCTTGTCTTGTCTTTAAAATCACACTCCCAATGACACGTGCAATGATTGTGATCACTTATCTCTAAGTCAGGAGTCCAAGCAGGCCTCGGGCCAGTAGTGACACTACACACTGACATGTCAAGATTTATTACTGATGCAAATGGATGATCCCACTCTAATGGCCCCATGTCCACATTACAAGAAGTGCCATTGTTACTGACAGATGTTTGAGACTCAGCCTCAGTGATTCCAGGTGCAGCCACTTCACACCCCAAACTCACACTCAAAACTGCTCTGGGGATCCAGAGCTACAACATTTCTTTTGATGCTTCACTACTGCAGACCTACACACCTGGTATTTCAGCACCCTTCATATGATCTTTAAATGGAAATATAAACTTCTGCCTTTCATATCACCTACCTTTTCTTAGCTTGTGAAGTTTTCTCATCTATTCCAAGATAGATCAGATTCCATTTCTATCTGCTCCTCCTAATGTTTCTAGCTTGGCAATAGGATTGCTTCCAAGTAGTCATAAAATCTGGCTGTGTGTCCTCATGCCAGCCCAAGTATTTTAACTCAGCACAGCCAGCGGTGGTTCAGATTTCCATTTTTTACATTCTTCAGTAAACCTGCCTCCTGCAGATTTTTGCTTCTAATGTTTGTTTACTTCACAGCTTATAAACAACCTAGGTCTGATTCACAGTTCCCCTAAGACTGGTTCACACTGGAAGGTAAAGGGAAGTTAAAGTGCCACAGGCCCTGAGCATAACAGATAATTCAGGCTTTCATCAGAGCATCCTTTGACTCAAAGATTTCCAGCTCAGCTGTCTGATGAAACAAGATTGTCCTGTAACATAACTTCATATTTAACAACAACGTTTCCAAAGGTCTAACAACCCCACTCCCTGACAGACGATGTTCATTACCACAGCAAAAATCTATGCATTGCTTTCATCTAGTACATCTTCTCTAGTCCCATTTTCTTTCACAGAAATAATGTCTGGGGATAGTTAGAGTGCATGCATTAGTATGATTTATTTTCAGAAAATATTTCACTCATTACAGTGATAGCAGCCAGGATAAATGTTCAGAAATATTTTTAGATGTCAGAAATAGTATATACATTATGGAGAGGAGAAGTGGGAGAGTGGGAGGGGAGAATGGATGCTTAAAAACAATAAAGAGTCTGCTGCTTCCCATATGATATAGTTTGTGTTTGATTTTAAACTGGAGTTAATAAGAATTAAAAGGAATCACTTAATAAGTAAACAGTGTACACATCATTACTGTTCTTGTCTTTGTAAGACTTTCCATGCCACTCCAGAGCTTGTTTGTGCTGAGAAGGAAAGGACTATAACATAATGGTGGCATGTGATTCTTAATTTTCTTTTTGTTTTTGATGTATTGTTCATAAATCTAAAGGACTTTGCTGCTGCATTCATTTGATTTAATTTTTGCCATGTTGATAAGCGAGGAAATGAGACCAATAGACGCCCACACTTGAGGGCAGAGCTCTCCCTGAACTGGAGTATTTCCTGCCATAGCCACTCCCTTCTTTAAATGTGCCAGTGGAAAACTTCTAAACAAACTTTTGGGCTGTTTTTTTTTTTTTTGATGTTGGTTTTGTTTTGTTTTGTTTTGATTTATAGATGCAGCATTTCAATCTTTAGCAGGCACTTTACCAGCAAGGGACATCATGTAATTTAAGGGTCTGCTTCAGCTACTGTTCTCTTAAGCAAAATTTCTTACATGTGGTTGACAGGCTATCTTAATCCTTGGTTTGTAGGTATAACCTTCCATCTCAGTTTGTTAAGCCAGCAAGCAGCTTTTGACCTGGTTTCCCTTCTTTGTTGGAGGTAGGCGTTACAGTAACATGATACAGCAACTACATTTTTAAAAACAAAATCCAAGGTCAGATGGCTGTCACCCAAGGTCAGAAGGAAAAGATTCAAATGGTGCTTGACCACCAAGGAAGAAAACCTAAGGGTTAAATGTTCAAATTACACAAACCTTGGCAGGAGGGATTTTATTGTTCTTGTTCTGTTTTCATAGGGAACACATAATATTTCTGTGAGAACTGAACTTCTCATATCTTTCAGAGCATGTTGCTCATATTTTTGATAGGGAAATCAGTTGGAATCTTCAGCCACCCAAACCCAAATTAGCAGTTTATCTTCAATTTGTCTCATTTCTCAGTCTGCAGACTGAACTTTAACACACGCAGTCAGTCAGTGCAATAAGAAACACAAAACAAGCCAGCAAGGATCTCTTGAGGTCATTGGAGTAAAACCTCTTTGCAAGAAGCTTGCCAAGAAATCAACAACACCAGAAGAAAAGAAGAAGCACAGATGAGTGCTCTCACAAGTAGCCTAGCAGAGCAAGGTATTTAGACCCCAGGAGTCCACAAAAATAAAAATTAATTTTAGCTGGAATTTTGCTTAATCTTTGCAGGTGACATGTAACCTGTATATAACATGGAGAGGCAGTTAAAAATTTGGAGACCAGCTAAAGCCTTTTGTTTTATTAGCACAAGCTAGAAAACAAGTAGGCTGAAAACATCAAGCGGCAGAAAGTCATCAAGAGCATGATAAACCAAAGCAAGTTCCTACAAGCACTTGTCAGAAGGGAGCAAGGAGCTTAAAATGAGTTGGCCTGGGGAGAGGTAGGGTGAGATATAATGATTCAGTGCTTTTCTCCCAGACACCGTCCCCACAGCTAAGCAGAAGCAGTCTGGATCCTGCCCTCCTGTATGATGGATAGTCCCCCAGCAGGAAGGATGGCTTGCCTGAGGCCAGGCAGTCTGTGCCACTAAGTGGGAGACAATCTGTTGAATGGAGTGAGAACAAATAGATATAACTCTCTTGCAGTGAAAAGCGGCAATTGAAAGGAGACATGGGAGAAATCCTTTCAATTTGATATAGTGACTATTCATTACTCTTCACAGAATGGGAAGTAGGGGACACAGGTGGCATAATGAAGCTCCAGGTTTAGAAGGAAATAAAAAGTAGCCTTTGTCCTCAGTGCACAAAGTGACACTGTAGAACTTGTTGCCACAGGATGGTGGGCCTGCACCAGAGTTAAAAAGAGATTAAACCAATGCAAAGAGAATGGGGCACACTGACCTGGATGCTTCACCTAAACTTGTGATTTTCAGAAGCTAGAAAAACAGAGGAAAAAATTGGTGGTTTTACTTTCCTCCTCACTCCACCATTGTTCCCTGCTACTTTCTGCTGAAGCACATAATTCAGGACTGAGAATGTTCTTCCATACAACCCAATATAACAGGTTTCATGTATTCGTGTCTATCTTATTTACCAACTAAAATCTCAACTTCATTAGTTCCCTATATGGGTCGAAGTTACTCTGAATATCTAAGTAACTACAAAATATTGCTGACTGGTTTGCATTACTTGCAAAGTCTGGTCTCAGAAATGTGGGATCATGAAGAATATAAGATTATAAGGTCAGGGAAACTGGCATATCTAGAAAGTAGCAGCCAGTAAGAGGATAAAAGATGCAAAACAACAAAAATGTAACCACGTGCCATGAACAGCAAATATTTTTCTAGTCTTAACCAGTGATCAGTTTGGGCATGAAGTTTATGCAGTAACTACTACTCCTAGAAATTTTAAAGTATTTGATGTAAGTCAAAAAACCATCCTGGTATGTGAACTACTGCAGAGTGTCCAAAATACAATTTTTAGACCAAGGAGCTTTCCCACTGTCTAATGAAATTAATTTATCCTCATTTTGAGATAAATGTGCAATCCAGCTGGAATATTTTATAAAGATGTTTTTCGTGATTTTCTTTTTGTCGTTGTTGGGTTGTTTTTTAAAGGTGTGCAAATACATTGTTTCAGAACAAATGGAAAGACTGGTCTACAAACCCATGGGAGTCACAAGTGCAATGGAAATCTTCCATAGCCTCTCACTATAATGAAAAGGACCAGAATATTCAAGATAGGAAGTAACATGAGGAATTCACAGACGTGGAATCTCCACAGATTTTTACCTTAAGTTGCTTTTTCTTCTAGAAACAAAATGAAGAGTTGGAGTTTTTTGTTATAGTTTGATCACCAGAAAAGATTAAGCGTGTTATTTAAAAGTGCAGTCTGATCGGCTATTTTGGGAATCTGCCAGTATCTAGTGTATAAACAAATCTGGTGCACTCAAAAGCTTCAAAAGGGTGTTTTTACTCAATGCATTCAGTTGGTTAGAGCCCAGGAAGCACATATCTTAGAGGGAAACGAAGGAAGTAATATCTTTCCAACAGATCCTGACCTGTGTCTACATATTTTCAGGGTATTGTAAGAAGCTGCCCTTACAAAGCCAAATACTGACCTTTTAATCTCCCACAACTTCCCAGGAGGAAAAGAGTTTCTCTCTGCTTTAATAATGGTCGGAGCTGTCACTCTCCCCCACAAAAGGAACAAGCACAGCAAAAGAAACAAGCAAACATTCTCTGCTTACATGAGTGTCTTATATTTGAGTTGCCTGTTCCTGAGCTGTCTCCATAAACAAATTCCTCGCAGAAGCAGATACAAGGAGCAGGTCTGGCAGTGTGTGAGTTTCACTTACATGTGCTGTGAAGCATTGGGGTAGAGCTCTGAGAACTGCGGCGCAGAATCCTCGGGGCCGTGGGGCGCAGCGTGGCTGATGACCATCATTATGGGCCTATGGGGATATATCCTCTTAGACATTCTGAAGTAATTAATGCTCTCATTAGTGATTAGGTCTGTGAAGTAGTCCTGGAACATACGATTAACACAAAGCAAAAGTTACAAAGTGCATGATTAATTAGATCACATACTATCATGTTATTATGTTATTTTTCAAGCCCTCATTAAAGCTCAGATCAGGAAGTAAAAGCATACCATCAAAGAGATGTATGATTTGAGGGAGCATAGGGGAGACTGAGCAGTAATTACTTTCTTAAGCAGGCAATGCCACATAAAATGAGACAGTATTTTGCAAATCAGATACAACAGAAAGTATTAAGTAAATTTGATTACCAGATTTGGTAATATAATGCTAAGTAACATTTAAAATAGCAGACTGTACTGACAAAGATATGTTTCTTAAATTTCATTGATAAAACACCTCACAAGGTAATTGCTCCCAAATAACATTGAATCCTAATCTGGTTTTATGTTTACATAAACCTTTATTGCACACTCTTTGTTCAGACTATACTTTTGCATATGTACAAAGTGGAAGACAGCTACAACAGGCAACTGACTGCAAAAAATCTTAATCAAAGAAATTGCAAATGAGAATGCAGGGAGCAGTTGAATTCCTGTGGGCTCTGTTCATTTAATTGTGCAACTTTAAGCAGTGCAGCTGCTGAGATTAAGGTTGTGACTCGCTAATAAACTGGCTTAACCCATAGTTAAGGTGGCAAATGGAAGTCTACAAGGAAAAGGGAGGAAATAGAACTAAGAAAAAAAGATGAAAACTTAAATTAAACCACCTGCCACCTTGGAGTATTCACTGTTGGCCTGGAGGTCTAGCTCGAGCTTCATTGAGAAAGTGCTGAGACAATGTTTGTAATGTCAAGCACTTCCAGGCATGACTAATCTTATGTTGTGGATTCGAGGCCCTGAACAGCTGCAAAAGCAGAGCCTGAGGGACAAGGTCTGTGTCGCATGTCAGTGCTAGGACAAGCCAACCAGCTGTGACCTCCTCGCTCACCCGCTCCCTGTCCCCTGCCCCTTCCCCTCTCCTGCAGCAAGCTTGGGACATGCACAGTAGCCCTGGCTGCTACAAACCCTGCAAGCAAATGGATGAGACAGTGAGTGATCCTTTAGTTTTCAAAACGGATAATGATTGTTAGGTACCAGGGCTGTGATAATTTCTGGATTTGTGGCCTGAGTGAAATGCCTGTATGACTGCTCTCCCAAAGCATCTACTCCACTCCTGTTTCTCTGTTTATTCTAGCTACATATACAGGGTGTGTAAGGAATGCACAACTAACCAGTATTATATATTTCCTTTTTTTTTGTAAACTCTGTATAAATATATAATCAGTATAATGTAATTTCTATGGATGGGAAAATCAGAAACAGGCGTCACTAGCTTCCAATAAAAACTCATTACATGGGTCAGAAACCACAGCTGAAACATCTGTATCATCTTCCTGGAGCTGCAATTTGAGGAAATTCCAGATTGCTTTCTGCAGGCTGGTTTGTCTGAGATCTGCCCTCCTAAGCCTTTCCAAGAAACTTCATGGCAGTGGGCAGGTCCCCTTGGCATACTTTCCACACTTTGTCAGGAGCACAAACAAGCTCTGAACTTTTCCAACGGCTGTGTTCTTGCCCTTATCTACCCTCATACTCATATCCGGAGTCTGACACCACAGGCATACAGCCTTTCTTTGGTGTGCATTCTACAATGGAAAACAACATTAACCAAGGTTCTTCTGTGGGTAATAACTGACAACACTCAGCAAACTTTAAAGTTCAGTAGTGCAAGGGACACAATTCTTTTGGGGAAAGACTTTTATTTACTGTTTGCTTCTGCCAAAACATCACATTCTGTCAGGGAGAACGAGGGAGGGAGGGGAGGAAGGAGGAAGGCATCACCAGGCTCCACTGAAGAGCCTTAGGAACATTCTTCTGTTGAGTGATTAATATTCTCAGGTGGAAATTGATCTGAAATGCCCTGGAGAGAAAATGACATCTCAATTTCATGGCTGTAGTTGTTTAATTAATTAATTATCTGGTTAATTAATTTTCTGAAAGTTATTTTTATATGGATTAATCATGTGGCATTTATGTGTCTGGAAAATACCTTTGCATAATCAAATCCATGCTTCTCTTTGTTACCATTGCGAGAAATGGTGTAATTATAGAAGCGAGAGTTCTTCACTAATCCAACCCACTCTCTCCACCCAGGAGGGATGTAGCTGCCATTGTATTCATTGAGGTATTTCCCAAAAAAAGCTGTGAAGTAAAAAAAAAAAAAGAACACACACACGCATGAGGCTTTGCAATCCAAGTCTTTTAGTCTGAGTCAAAAGAACGTATGAAGAGAAAATGTGTTAGAATGAGTCAGAGCTGCTTTACCAAAAATCTTCCTTTTATAGCTTAGAGGGTTTTGAAATTAAAATAAGTTATTTCCAGACTTTTATGAGAGTTGAAAGCTTTCGCGACTCTATGTTTTATTCTTAATATTTTGGAATCTAGTGTTCATGTGAAATATTTTCAGGGTTTCTTTTAGAAAGAATATGTTCCTCTTGGTTTCCACTTGAATATGAAATAAAAGCTCAGTACCCAGAGGAAACATCTGAGAAACACCTTGTGGTTTTCAGCAAGTCCTGTGATGTTTCAGAGCTTGGCTTCTGACTTTTTGAAAGTTCAGGCTTGCTATCCTGGCTACATTTGCTGCTTTGATAAAAGGTCTGGGAAGCACAGATCTCTATCCCATTAGGATCATGTTTGGGTAGAGCAAGAAGGGATCCCCACCTGCTTTGCTGCCACATCATCTCTAAGGCAAAACTTACAAAGAGGCGAAGGCTTGGAGGTCAAAATCCTCTACCTGGCCTGCCAAACTCCATGTACGTTTTCCTATATAGCTCAAGGTTACATATCAGAACCCACTCAGACTGAAAATTTCAGCCTTTGCCATAGGTTTATAGGTGCTCCTGCCAATTCATCTGCAAGGAAGTGGGAAGGAAAGCAGTTTCACAATGCAGCAGGCTCCCAGCTATCCAGGAGCTGTGGATTGCCTGTGGCAAAGATGCAGAGACACCAAAAGCCAGCCAGCTGCCTTTGGAAGGGAGCATGCTTATGTGCTTAATGCTGGCATGGCAAATGCAGCCACTTTGCTTCTAGGGAGAGAGGGGTATGGGAAGTCTTTAGCTGCTTTGTATGGTCTGTGACCTGGACAGAATAGTCAGTTCAGATGGGCCCATTCTGCTTTTCCACTGCCTGGGAACTGCAGTGACAAAACACCTGATCAGGTCTGTCATTTTTGGGATTTTTTATCTCCTGTTCAGTCCCATGGACCTACTGGAGTGCCTCAGTATCTTCACTGTTCACCCATTCTGCTTTTCCACTGCCTGGGAACCACAGTGACAAAACACCTGATCAGGTCTGCCATTTTTGGGATTTTTTTTATCTCCTGTTCAGTCCCAGGGACCTACTGGAGTGCCTCAGTATCTTCACTGTTCCCCCTTTTAATTTTCTTGAGGTTTACAAGCCCCTGGCGGGTCACCTGTGCCAGCAGTTCTGCTGCCTGTGTCCCCAGGAGCCTGCACACAGGTACTGCTGGTGCTCACAAAATCAGACACGATGGAGGAGGAGGGAATGACAGACACCTCTCCCTCTCCAGGGACAGAGCCCTTCACAGCTGTCCCTGCACCCCTCACAGTGCCCAGCCACGTCATTGCTGCCAGCCCCAACTCAGCAGTCAGTCCTGTCTGCAGAGAGCTGCTGCCCAGAGATGCTGTCCCTCAGCTGGGCACTGGGACATACCTTGAATCCCTGTGCTTGTTTCCTACTAGGAAATGAAGTCACATTGGAAAGCCTCACATCCAACCTAGACACATTCAATCTAACCAAAAAAAGCACATTTGTGGAAGGGCTCAAATAATTCAGATCTGATTGATGTGGGCATGGTGAATTTCTTGGGAAAACTGGTGGAAAAATCAAAATGTTCATAATTAAGACTTGTCTGAGGCAACATAAATATGATGCAATTCAATCAGGCAACTGCCAAATGCCAAATGAAACCGGAGATGACAGTCATATATATAATGTTACTTTCCTGCACCACGTGGAATGTGACATATAAACAAGTCCTACAGACACTAGACCAGGCTTCCAGCTCTTCTTCCCACAGCCACCAAAAAAGCAATCCAACCTGTCTCCTTTTTTATCCTGAGGCCTAGAGAAATCAAGAACTGTAAGGTGAAGAGAGTGACAGTGGGCAGGGAATACGTGCCCAGCACTGTTGTCTCCTGGAATGGAAACCATACCTCTCATCTAAGGCAGCCAAACTGGTTTAAACTATCAGTCAGATATGATGGGAAAGTATATGGATGAAGGCTGAAATTCTGTGAGAAGGGAGGCCAAGGAAAGAGGAAGAGGCGAAGAGAAGTCAGAGAGAGAAAACAGTGAAGAAAATATGGGAGAGTGATGTAACAGAGAGAGAGGGAGCATTGTTGAGCCAAGCAAAACCAAGGGCAGTCTGTGGTTACCGGGGAAATCTGAGGTCAGCCCTTCCGAGTGCCATCCCAGGTCTACCAGCAGCTGCAGTACAATTCTGGGGAATCTCTGTGTGCTGTTCTCATCAGTAAAGGGCTCTACTGACAACCTGTCTCTCACAAATATCAGAGGCTTTCAAATTGTGCAATGGAAGCTATGACAATTTATCATATAGGATGGTTTGACTGCCTCATGCATTATAAGATTGACTCACTTGGAGACCTGGACTCTGCTATTTACAGTCTTGCCAAACTTTAATCATTAGTGGTGATAGTTTCCATGCTATCTGACTCAGGCTGTATTTTGCTCTATGGAACCTTTTAGCCAAACAGCTCAGTAATTTCCAAGAAAAAGACTGGGAAAAAAGAAATGGGTTCACCCATATAAAAATAATTGTCAGACTTTTCTATATGAAGTTCTGATGTGTATAGGTTTTGATGTAGGGCCTTTATAAATAACAGAGGTGGCTATGAAAATCTGCCTCAAAATGACCAAGCTCAGAAAAAACTGTAGCACACAGATGATTATTCCATCTTCTCACTTTAGCATCACAATGGAGTGTTCCTTTATGGATTTGAGAATATTCCCAGAATTTAATTTTTGGCATTAAAAAAAGCCATCAGTTTCCCTCACTCCTGACTCTCTTTTTTGGTATTCATTACCTGAGAAAGCCACCAGCATAAAATGAAAAGATGAGATGACCTGAGGCATAAGTACAAAAATAGATAAACTGAATTTGGAAAAGAAAGGATGGCTTGGAGCTGAGGAGGGCCAGGCCAATTCATCTTGGAGTTTCCTTGCTTTAGATTACTTAATTTTCTAACTTTAATAATGTTTTATCAGATACCTTTTGGCCCACTGAACCCCATTTCAGTTCATGTTATGAGACCTCAGATTGACAGCCTGAACCATTCACCTTTGTGTTGGCAGTGATTTAATATTTTATCATAAAAATAATCTCAGTGCTGTCAAATTTTAAGCAGCTCCCTGAGTGACAGTTTGCAGAAATAGATGTTTCCCCCTGTTGCTGTGTAAAGCAATTCCCATGTCAAATGTGTACCAAAGACCTGAATACTAGAAGAAACAGTGGCTGTGACAATGGATCATATTTGCCAAAATGCTTTAACCAAAAATAGTTTATTGGTTATAAACTCAAGAGGATATGAGTAATTAGACAGGTGAAGGGAAAAGCCAGGCTTTTACTGAAATGCAAGTGTTCAGTCCTTGCACCGTGTTGTCTTTTGAGTACTACTGAGAATAGGACAGGGTGGGTGAGTCAGAACTGGGGCCCAGCAGTAGCAGCAGCAGTTAGTGTCTGGCCCTTCAGGCTCTGAATGAAGACAAGTGCCAGAGTAAAAGGAAAGCACAGGAGTGTCCATGGGACCAAATAACAATCAGAAGTAATCACCATGGGTGTCCTAGCTGTTTTTTGTTTAACTCGAGAATTGTTAAAGAGTAAAGCACTATGGAATATGTCAAAGAACTGCTCAGGAACTGACACTGTGATGTGCAGATGTCTTTGCTGGGTCTTCACATGCTTGGCTTGTAGAATCAACCTCCATCTTTAACTTAGCTGTAGCCCAACACTTGCTGAATTTCTCAAGTCTGAGAACTAACTGGGAAGCCTCAGCTTCAGAAGCTGCTTGGACTCAGCAGTTTGGGTTTAGGAAGGGTTAGGAAGCCATTTCTGCTGGTAATTAATAAAATGGAAATTATGACTCAGTGGGTAAAAGCCTCATTAAAAAGTAATGCCATTTCAAGGGACATCTTTTCATTATTATGTGTAACAGCCCCCATAGGGATAGCAGCAAAGATAAATGCTTACTTTTGCATTTTAATAAGACAATTTTTATCTGCATTCTGGCAGTTTTGCTAACTGTTCCCAGGACACATTGTTATTTTCTAATCACATGTAGTGTAGCTTTGTATATCAGAATAATTGTATTCTGTATTAGTATGTTCAATTATGTTTATGCAAACAACAACACATGGCATGGTGAACAGTTTTACAGACATCTATGCGTCTCTGGAGGGGCTGCAGAATATACATGTCTGGTACCTGACATGAACAGATGCCTTAAGACAGGGTTTTGTTTTCCTTTTTACAATTAGCTAATGATTTCTGTACTGGGCTGAGAGATCCAGGGGGTTGCAAAGGGTGCAAGACACATATAATTTGATCCAGGGGCTCTCTAATACTTACAGCTGAGTGTGATTCAAATTCTCGTAATTCCCAGGACTTCTCTTCCCAGCACTTTTTACAAGCAATTATGACTAATGTTTACAGTATTACACAATAGATTTAGTCCTCTAACTCCCGTCAGTGTTAGTGGATTAGTGCACAGGTGAACTGGGCTACATCTGCTAGTGAGACATCTCTGCACTTCCATGGATCAAAGGACATATATTATGTTCTACACCCTTGTTATTTGTTGAGGCTTATGGGAATGCTTCTGAGTTAAAACAAATGCAAACCTTTAAAAAGCCACACTGCAGAAAGGTTTAGTCACTGTGACCCAGACAAGAGCTTTAAGTAGACAGCCCACTTCCTTTAACAAAGTCAGGAAACCATTTACAGGAGTTGCAGGGCACTGTTTATACGACATTTCAGGACTCAAACGCAGTGATTCTATGGTTCTGTGGACAGAACCCAACATAACTTCAGCTTCCAAATAATTCCAGTAAATTCCTTCTCGCTTTCTTCCCATTATGCAAGCCATAGATTCAAACTTGAG